CCCCCCGCAAACACCCGTACGGACTTCAGAAGCTGATTATTCAGGGCCATTGAAAGGAATTTGTAAATACCTTCCAAGCAGCAGGTCCTCCACAACCCAGAATGGGTCATTACTTCTTCATTCTTCCTGCTGGTTTCGTTATCACTTGTAGATTTAGTCCTGCACACACCTCTGGAATATAACCAGTAGTCCGTGCCCACTGCAATGGTCATTAAACTAAAAGCTGCGAAGGCTCCTACAGTAGTGATCAACATCTGGATACCTCTGTCACACATCCTCATAATTCTTCATGGTACTCTGGACGGCTGGGGGTTGGAGGGGGAGAGTCAATGCCAGAAGGAAGAATTACTCTGCAGCTGGGTAACCTAGGACAGCCTCTGCCAAAAATCCGGATCTCCTTTTGTCAACATCCACGGGGACTTTGGGGAAGCTGAAATTTCCTGTCTTAAGCTCTCTCCAGTACCGATCCTCTATGGCCCTCGGGAGGGTGCGGGCTCCAGGGGGTTGGTCCACATCACTGCTGTGGTCAGAGGATCCCTGGATTCCTTTCATTCCTCAGGAGCTTGGAAAGGACGAGGATTTGTGCAGGACATGGCTTCGGAGCTTAGAGCTGCCAGCTCGGTTTGAGATGCGCCTGGTTTCTCACAGCCCCTGGGAGACTCAAGGCAAAAGAAACCCAGAGAGGTCTGGCGTGTGAGAGTGTGTGTGCGTGTGTGTGTGTGCGTGTGTGTGCGCGCGCGCGTGCGTGCGTGTGTGTATGTGTGTGTGTGTGTGTGTGTGTGTGCGCGCGCGCGCGCGCGCGAGCGCGTGTGCCGGGGGTGAGGGCGGATGGCAAAAAATAGCACGCTGGGAGGCGAGTCGCTGAGAAGAGTGTTCGCTGCTTCCCCAGCCTCCCAGGAAAGCTCTCCGCCTGCTCTCCACACCCCCGCGCAAACTGCAGAAAAAGGAGAGTCCTGGGGCGGGGGCCGCACTTGCAGTCAGAGGTTCTTGGTGCTGAACGGACAGCTCCTCTCCTGTTGCCCAACCTCCGTCTTCGTGATGGGCGGGTTGAAGGTCCGTGATGCTGAAGGGACAGCTCCCTTCCTCAGCTACGCGGCTAGGCGGAGGACCTGGGGTGCTGAAGGGACAGTTCCCTTCCACGGCTGCATCCCCACATTTCTAGCTCCTAGTTAGGATTCTAGGGTGCTGAAGGGACAGTTCATTTCTGCAGCTGTACCCCAGCCTTTCTAGCTTCTAGGCGAGGGACCTGGGGTGCTGAAGGGTCGTTCTCCAGCACTTCCCCTGTGCCTTCCCAGGACCAGCCAGCCGCCTCAGCTCTGCCAAGGCAAGCTGACGCCCCGTGCAAACTTTCGGGAGCCCAGAGCAGACAGAGCCTATGCTCCAGGGTGCTGCAGCATGGTAGAGCCCACTCCTCTGAGGGAAGGGTTAAGGACCAGGGCCTGAGAAAGAGCCCCACAGCGCACTCTGGCGCGCGCACTCTCAGCGCCCACCTGGCACAGCATTCTGTAATCAACCCCCTTCATCTCTGAGCCCCAAGAGCGAGGCAAGTTTGCTTTTTACTGCAGGATCCCACTAGGGAGACAGAAGTCCCGAAAGACCCGATCTTCTTAAGGGGATGGAAGGCTCCGAGAGACTGTTCTGTGGCTCACTTGTGTGGACAAACTGTTGTCACTGGCATATCTGTGTATATCTATCTCAGTTTGGTTCCCCAGAAAACAAACCAATATGTCTACCCTCCTCTCTCCGAAGCTCTGACTTACACGGGAGCCAACTGCTCTCCTCACATCAGACCTGGAACTGTTCATATACATGTGAATATGTGTTCCTAAAGGACCAAAGGGGCTGAATATACCTAGACTGTTGTTCACATACCAGGGACCTTGGATGGAGGGATGGAAGGATTTGGTCTCTGAATATACTTTAAATTTTTAACACTTTTACATTTGAGGAGGTGGTGAATTCTAGGTGGGAGAGGCATTGAAAATGTCAGATTCTTTCCAAAGGTTCTATTCTAAGGGTTGTTCATTTGTTAACATCTTTTTCTAAGTTAGACCAGGAAGCAGGTGAAACTTGGTCTGGGTTCCTTGTTAGTCCAAAGTGCAAATGCCATCATACACCTGAAAGTTCTTTCCCCTGGAAACAGTGAATGCTGAAATGAATCAGCACTGAGCAGCTGTTTAGTTCATGTGTTCTGGCACACACACGACAAACACATGCTAACTTGACTAAAGACATTCTACCAAATTTCTCTTCTCACTTTTTTTTTCTTGTGGATGGTAGGAGCTGGTACTCAGAATCTGGAATTGAGACTGCATAGGTTGTTTCTGAAGTTGCTGAGACAGACCCACAGCCAACTGTCAGGTTTGAGTGTTGTTTAACTGGACAAACATTTAATGGAAGGAAGTCATAAGCACATATTCTCCAAGGTGCCATCTCTGACTGTCTGAGAGCTACTATTCAGATAACCAACTAATGGCAATGCATTCAAGAAGTCTCAGAGACAACTCACAGCCTTTTGGTAACTTCAATGTCATTTGATGATTTGGTTCTTGGTTTTATATATGCATACATGTGTACACATATATAAGGTTTGCTTATACAGTTATGGTATGCTTATATCTGAACGTTTACCTCTGCTATGGTAATTTTTAAATAACTTCTGAATAACCATGAATTTGTTGTGGAAGTAAAAAAGATATGTAAATTTATGGATATACCTACATGCAATGCTGTGGATCACATGAGAGTGTTTGTTGTAAAAATGTAGCTGTGTGCATGAATATGCACATGTAAGAACAATGCAGGTTTGTACAATGGACTTAGTTGCATATATGTATATGACATGATGTATCCTGAAAATTTGCCATATACTAAAACTAAACACATAAACTTTAGGGCCAGGACTACAGCTAAGTAGGTCATAGAAAAATGATAGGAGATAATGGGAGAAAATACAGGAGGCCTCCTATATAAGTATTTTAATATCTTTTTGAATAAATAAAATTTGTTTCTCAGTTATGATTATTGATTACTATTGCTAATAATAATACTGATCTTTAACTCTTTTAAAAGCAGGATCTCATGTAACTCAGGGTAACCTCAAACTTGGTATGTAGCCTAGACTGGCCTTGAATTCATGATCTTCCTGCATCAACCTCAGGAGTGTAGGGGCTACAGGTGTGAATCAACATATCCAGCTTGATTGATCACTATTAGCTTTTTTAAAGGAAAGGGCCATGTGTTACATGGAGATGAACTTGGTATTTTCTAGAAGGTTTCATAAAATAGGTGAATATTTTCTTCCACTTCCCAGAATTTTAATATGATGGGGGGCCAGGCGTGGTGGCACATGCCTTTAATCCCAGCAAACAGGAGGCAGAGATAGGCAGATCTCTGTGAGTTCAAAGCCAGAACAACCAGCTAGGACTATAGCGAGACCCTGTCTCAAAAAGACCCCCCAAAATGAAGGGGTTAATAATGATCAAAATGGCCATCCTAGAATTTGTTTTAATCTCCTACTGCTCCAACAGAGGCAAGAAAGATGCTATCTCAAAGCAGGACAGTGGCCTTAGGGCTTGTGCGTACATCACTCCATTCACCAGACCCACTTCAAAACAAGAGCAGCTTCCGCTCCACACCCTCAGCCCTAGAACAGAAGCCCAAGTATACAAGTTTGTTGCCCAGGAAGACTAACTGATGGAACCAAGTTTCTAGGTAGGCTTGTCAGAAGAAGAGACCAGCAGCCCAGGTTGATGAAAGTAATAATCATGGCCATGACACACACATTTTTTTTTTTCTGAAGAAGAGAACCATATCCCTGTTAAAGAACAGAGCTTTATGCTGAGTGTTTGGCTTGGTGAGGCAGGATCATCCTTGGTGACCTCTGTCCAGAGCCAAAGCTAATTTAAATGTAGGAGAAATCCTGCATGTGAGCAAGTCAGAGCACCTGACTGGAGTGGGAGTTGGAGGCAGGGAGCCCGTCATCTAGCTCCTATTAATTCCTCCGTACTTACTAGGGGGTGACCTCATCCTTTCATTCAATGGAATGTGTAGGTGTGCACATGGGTGTGTAGAATCTGCTTCTCAGCCTAGAGAGAATTGTGCATTCTGACCACTAGAGGGCTCTTTCGCCAGCTCAATTCCGGTCACAGGAGATTCAAAGCACTTTCTCCCCTCAAAGTGGTGGAGCCAGTTCCTCTGCATTTGCTGATACTTTCTGGTCCTGCTTATCTGGTAGGAGACTCGAGACACATTCACACAACTTTAAACTTGTGCATAATTCTCTTTATTAAGTCTTTTTCTTCTCCTGGTCCTGTAGCTTGTCACTGACCAGCAAAGTATCTATTTGTGCTCCTCAAGTTCGTCCTCTCATTAGCCAGGGTTCCCCCTCTGGATGGTGAGTGCCCCTGAAAATGATTTTGCTACTTAGGAAATATTGATAACTAATTCTATTTAATAATTGTTTCTTGATTGCCTACTATGCACAAGGCAAAATCAGCTCAGCAGCACTTTAGACAATGGTATAGGTCTTATTCCCCAAGGAGTGGGAGATGCTGTATTAGTGAATACTTCCTGTCTGTAAGCATTAGAGATTCACTGGAGTTGGCTTGAGAAGATGGAGGCTTTGGTTTAAGAATATGGGATATTTTGAGGAACCACAAGGCAAAGATGCAATTAGGCCTTAGTGAGGAACTGGAACCAGGAAATAAAAGCCACCTGGATCCTTGATGTTCTTTCTAGCTTTCATCTCCGCTCTTTTCACATTTTTAGTTGAAAATTTGTTTTGCCTTCTGAATTACACTTTCATTGGGGTGGCAGAATAATACCAGACTGAAACAGCTTAAAGGAGGAAAGACTTATTTTGGCTCTTAGTTTCAGAGGCTTCAATCTGAGAAATGGTAGAGAGGGCATGGAGCAAATCAGCTCACAATACAGCAGCTAGGAAGGAGAGAGAGAGAGAGAGAGAGAGAGAGAGAGAGAGAGAACTTGTATACCTTGTTCATGGGCTTTCTCTCCCCATTCCTCCCCTGCTCCTGCTTTATTCCATCTGGGCCCCCAGCCTATGGAATGGTGCTGCCCACGTTGAGAGCAAGTCTTCCTTCCTTAGTTAACCCTCTCTGGAAATGCTTCACAGAAGCAGAGGCATGCTTTGCTAATCTCCCAGGTGATTCGCAATTACCAAGTTGACAATCCAGACCAATCACACATCTTTTCTATGTAATGATCTTCAGGATGGGAGCTATATTTTGAATTTTTATCCCATCTTTATTAAGAAATTCACCCAAAATAAAGTGAGGAATTTTAGTTCAAATTTAAATATCCAGAACTGACAAACTGACTGGCCTAGCTTGCATTATATTATTATACTTCTCTCAGTCAGCTGAGCTCAAGGGACTGGGATCCAATGGTACAAATATGGCTAAGAGAACCAATCCCTATGAGGTGGGAAAGGGAAGTGGGATGCAGCAGGCCAATATTATAAAGACAGAAGCCAAGACACACATCTCTGGCTGAGGAAAGGAGATCTAGAACCTGAGTATATTATGAAAATTTCAAAGATAACCAATAGGCGAACTAGAGCTTTCCTACCACCATATTGAAGAACAGAGATTGGAGTAAAGTAAGCTCACTGAAGACAAAAATGAGAGGCTGATTCCTTGGGTGGGACCACAGGGCAGCTGCTGCTTTTCCATTTTTGTCCTTTCTAGCCTACCTGATTTTCAGTCTTACACTTGCATA